ACTGACAAATTTCACAGTCATTTATGAAGGTTTGGATAGATGCTCTTTGATTTGGCCAATAATATAAGGCCTTTATTCTGCTTTCTGTTTCATCTAATCCTCTGTGGTTTTCTTTTCCTTCGTGATAGTTTTTTATTATTTCCTCAATTTCATTTGGAGGTATATCGATTAGCTTCTTGGTGCATTTAATAAGAGATAATTGCGAAGATTTGAAGTATTTTTGGATAACGTTACTAAATATTTCATATATAGGATCTTCGAAGTACAAATGATATTTAACTTTAGGTGCTATATATTCTTTGACAAATCTAACTATGTCGCGTTCAGTGTCATTTTTTGAGAATTGTACAAGAATTCTTTGTTTTTTATCAAAAAGTTTTATTATAGATGGTGCTGCTGGTTCGTAATTAACTTGAGAAATGATAATTTGATTCATTCCAGTGTTAACCGAGCTTTCTGATATAGGTATACCTGTAATCGGATTTTCTCTGTTTGTGTGCATTGTAACACCATCGCTATCTTGGGCATCTTCATCATTGACATCTTGGTCATTTATTATTTCATCGGGTTCAACAATCAAAGACTCTGAGTCTAAATTATTTGGGGTTCCTAATAATGTTTCATCAAAATTTTCTATATAGTCGAAGAAATTTGGAGGTGTTTCGGGTTCGATGTCATGAGTTTCATTTGCATTTAATCGTATTCTTGATAGACAATCACTATTTGTGTTTAAAGCACCTTTTTTATAAACAATTTCATAGTCATACTCTTCGAGCTTTAATCTCCAGCGAACTAATTTTGAGCTAGGATCTTTTAATGAAAATAGCCATTGAAGAGGCTTGTGATCTGTCACTAGAGTCACGCGACGACCAAAAATGTATGGGCGGAAATATTTGACAGCCCAAACTATAGCGAGGAGTTCCTTTTCTATCGTAGAGTAGTTTATTTCTGAATCGTTCAATGTTCTACTCGCATAAGCAATTGGAAGATCAGATCCTATTTTTCCTTGACTTAAAACTGCACCTATTGCAAAGTTACTCGCATCTGTTGTTAGATTAAATGGTTTCGTAAAGTCAGGATATTGTAGTATAGGTTCATTTGTAAGAAGTTCTTTACAAATATTAAAGCATTCAACATAATCTGCGTCTTTAATATTTATTTCGTTATTCTTCTTTAGTCGCACTGTTAAGGGTTTCGTGATTTTTGAAAAATCTTTAATAAATTTCCGATAATATCCCAATAGTCCTAGGAATCCTTTTAATTGTTTAGTTGTAGCAGGTATTGGGAATTGTTTTATAGCCTTTATTTTGTCTGGATTTGGCTTTACTCCGTCTGGAGTGACAATATGACCTAAGTAGGCCACTTCTTTTTTTAAAAATTCGGATTTGTCCAACTGTATCTTAAAGTTGGATTCACGTAGTCTCTGGAATACTTCTCTTAAATTTATGAGATGTTCTTGGAGGCTAGTGCTAAATATTATGATGTCATCTAGGTAGACAAGGCATTTTTCGTTTTGTATTCCTCTCAATATGTTATCCATTACTCTCTGGAATGTAGCTGGGGCATTTCTAAGTCCAAATGGCATTCTTAAGAATTCATAATGACCGTTTTCGGTGTTTAAAAGCGGTTTTTGGGATGTCTTCTTCTGCCATTTCTATCTGGTGAAACCCGGATGCTAAGTCTAGCGTGGTAAAGTACTGACAACGCCCTAATTTGTCCAAGAGATCAGTAATGTTTGGGAGTGGATATCTATCTCCTAAAGTGATAGCATTTAAACGTCTGTAGTCAACTACAACGCGGAATTTTGGTTTGTTAGAGGCATCGAGTTTTTTGGGAACCACCCAAATTGGTGAGGACCATGGAGAATTAGATGGTCTAATGATATTTTGGTCTAACATGCCTTGAATTTGGTTTTGGACTTCTTTACGATATATTTCCGGATATCTATACGATTTAGAATATATTGGAATCTCGTTAGAAGTTTTTATATTATGTTTGATTTTATTAGTGAAAGACAATTGGTTACCCTCAATATGAAAAATGTCCGAATATTCTCTTATTAGTTTTAAAATAGAATTCCGCTCTTCGGTATTCATATGATCAGTACGGATTTTAGAAATATCAAATTTGAATTTTTTGGTATATATAGAATTAAGATTGGGATGATTTATTTGTTCGTATTCATCGAACTTTTCTACTTCTATTGGCGAAGTTAAATCAACTTTAAAATGGGACTCTGATGAGTTCGTAATAGTGCATAAGGCTTCATTATTAATAACTCTAGTAATACATTGGGGAATTTCTAATTTTCCTAATTTTGTATAAGGTACAATTACGTCACCATTTTCTATATTTTTTATGTTTAACTTAATTACTTGTTCGGAACGTGGAGACACTACTATACAATTCGTGCTGCCAGCGGCCGGTCTATAATAGTTAATTTTAATTGAGCAAGTAGGTGTTTTTAGTAAATTATTTACTAAATCAATATTTGCTTGTAATAATTTTAAATTATCTAGTCCCAATAAGCAATCGAAATAATCGTGAAACTTAAATATGTGATAATTTAATTTTATCGGCTTTTTGTGCCTAAATATAGACGAAGAAGGAATTACGGTACAGAAATTTTCCTTGGTAGTTCCAAGAGCAGTAGAAATTTGAAATGGTTTTTTAAATATTGAATTTTTAAAATATTTTTCACCTATTTTTGGTTGTAATAAAAGATTTAGTGCTCCCGGTATCTATTAGAACTTTTAAATTTTGTTCAGGGAAAATTATGTACGGCAATTCGCATTCTTTGTTAGTTAAGTTTAATAATTCTACATGCTGTGGTTTTCTTCCGAGGCTAGCTCCTCTAAAAAATGGTCTTGGGATGAACTTTCAGGACAATCTATATTATCTATATTATAAAGTTCTTCCGCGATAATATTTTTATTTTGGCTTGCGGCGAAATTATTGGGGTTACGGAAATGGGTCCTATTTTGGAAGTTTTGCGTTGGTCTGTATGTATTATTAGTTGTCGTACTCATTGGAGTAGGGTTTGGGAATTTTCTATTCGGATTTGGCTTGAAAGCATCATTATTTCCATTAAAATTTGAATTTTTGCTTGTACTAGGATTATTTTGGAAAGAAGATTGTCTCATATATTGAGAATTCTGAGGATGTATAGTATTTTTCTGTGTTGAAAATTGATTCCTTTGTGTGTATTGAATTTGGGGTTGATGTATAATTTGTTGGTTTTGTCGGAAATTGGATTTTGGCCTAGGTGAATAATTATTATTTTGATAATGTTTAGGATATTTACTGTGAGAAGAATTATTTTGTTCGAGATATATTTGAAAATCGTTTGTCAGAATGCCTAATGCAGAATTTAAATCTGGAGGATTCTTTGTACGCATTAAGGTTCCAAGAGGTTCTTTTAACCCACGCAACAGTACTCTTAATGCTAAATTTCGGAAAAAGCTACCGAGAATATTAATCTCAACCATATGTTCGGTTTTTGTAGACAAAACAGATATTTGAAGATTTAATAGGTGTTGAATTCGGTTATAAAAATCGAAAGGGGATTCATTGCCTTGTTTTAAATCTGAAATTTCTATGCTTAAAGTATAAATATCTCTTTTATCTGAATACGAATTTATTAAAGCATCTTTTAAATCCTGCCAAGTTCTAAGAATACAAGAAGAAATATTAATTGCGGCTTCGCCTTTTATTTTTGCTATTATGCTTGACATAAGATATTCATTTTGAAAATCATTTACATCCGCAGCATTATAAAATTTATTTACAATTTTTTCGCAAATTTCTAAAAATCTAGGAAGTAATGTATGATTTCCATCAAAATCTGGAATCATATCTAAGTATTCTTTCTTTAATTGTGGAACTGCCATGTTAAATTTATTATTTAGTTTTAATATTTTTGGAATTAATTTAGTATTAATATTAAAATTTAAATCAGTTAAAATTGAGTCAGAATCTGTATCTGAGTTACTACTCTCTGAATAATCAGAATTTAGTGTTAAATTAGGCTCTCTATATGACATTAATTCACTTACAGTAATGTAGCGATCTTGTCCATGGAATGCCTGGCTTTGGAACTGGATCTAGAGACACTCACAATATTCACTTGAAAGTCTCTCCGGTATAGAAGTACGAATCTTCTCGTCAGGTTACTCAATTCGCCCAACTGGAATTCACTTCGCGAATATGGTTCAAATGGTCAAAAAATCGTAGAAAACGAACCGAGAGTTATATTCATTAACGCCCGTTTGACCATCCATACTGACTGCGCCAAATATATTAGAGTGTTCCAAAACTATATTTTTAAAAAATATTTATTTAACACAAAAATAGTACACTACGTTTTGATACAATAAAAGCAGAATCTAGACTAACTAACAATATGATTTTTAATACTGAAATCAATTTAATAATGAAAATGCAATGTATAATGTTCGTTGTCGTATGTTGTCTTAATCAGCGTTCTTCAGTTCACTGGACTTGGGTCATTACCTTATTAAAGCTTAGTTCGTAATTTATAGGTCGATAACTTATATATATATATATATATATATATATATATATATATATATATATATATATATATATATATATATATATATAACTGTTCATAAAAAAATACAAGACAGACATTTGTTTTACACTTTTATAATTAGACTGACAATTTTCAAAATAAGTTAATATACACATATTGCAACAAAAAGTGTATAATGCACTAAACGAGTTTCTTAAAATTTCTATATACAAAAAATAAGGTAGCGGTATACCGTAAATTACCACTGACTTGCAGAATATTGCTGTAGATGCTACTTAGCTGATTCGTATCTGCTTTGTAATTTATTACATTTTTTGTTTAGTAATATAACACATTTCTGGCTGTTTCTGGATAAATATCTTTGTTCTATTTTTCGAAATTAGCTTTTTGTTTATTATCTACTATATCCCTTTTAACTATTTAACTATTCTTCTTTCCTTTTTAGAGGTTCATATCTTGTGGGCGCAACATCAAGTGCATCATAGTTCAGAAGAGTTTAATCTAGCTGTAGGCTTGCGGCAGTCCTTTTTTCATGGGTGGTGTGGATTTGTAAGTTAACTACTCATACATATAGTAGTTTACATTTTTTAATTTATTTACATATTATTTATTTAAATTTTTTTAGATGTTCTACCTACCTTTGGCGTTTGTTATACCACCAGCACATTTTGTAACTCATCAACAGTTCAACCTACTGTATCAGTTCTGGATCCATACAGTAACTGTCACCACCCTTGGACCTCTAGAGTATATATTTAATACTCCGCAGCATCACAGGGTACACCATGGTAAATGTCACTTTTTATTAAGTATCTTTGTTATTGTATAATATATAATATATAATATATAATATATAATATATAATATATAATATATAATATATAATATATAATATATAATATATAATATATAATATATAATATATAATATATAATATATAATATATAATATATAATATATAATATATATTAATATATAATATATAGAGTGGCCCAAAAGTCTGGAAACGGTTAATTATCTCGTAAATTACTTGACATAATTATATAAAATTTGAGATACGCATATTTTAGGATACGGAGATTCCATATTTGGTACTTGCGATGTTGCCAGATTTTCAGTTTCTCTTATATTACTAGTAACTTTGGTTTTTCAAATGCATCACCCTGTATATTCAGTCATTATTGGAATCTCCTATTAAATACGAGTTCGACCGTATGTAACACTTATGATTTTATGTAGTCTGGAAGGTCTAAAATACATAAAACAGAAGTCTAGCAACGCCTAAATTGTTTCAATACATTTTTTAATACTAACTATTTTCAAATACATTAAAACGTAACAATTGATAGTTAAGAATATTTTTTAACATAATAGTTACGTTATTAAGTGTTCAAAATGTGCTCCATTTGTGAGTGGACCACACTCTAATCGATGGTAGAATGCGTCTACCACATTTCTCCATGATTGTCTAGAAATTATGATATTATCCATTATCCATGAGATCGGGTGAACGTGAAGGCCATTCAATTCTACCTTGTCTACCAATTTATCGTCCGGGAAATATCTTATCTAAATAACGCCGAACATTTACACCAACTATCTGACGTTAAATTTCTTTCGATAAAAAATGGCCCAATTAAATAAGTAGGTACCTATTATAACTGACCATACATTTAATTTGTGTGGTCTTTGAGTATGGTTTTCACGCATTCAGTGTGAATTTCACACGAGTTCAGCTATTCAATACGAGTTCAACCATTTGTTCACTTGATTTTATGTAGTCTGAAAGATCTTAAATACATGAAACAGTGCAAAATATGTAGATTTTAATAAATTTAAATATTTAAATGGAGAATGCTGTGATTTTGACATTTGTTCACCATTTAAATTATGAACTAAAATTGACAGTAGTTTTGGTTCAAAAAGTTCTGCAATTTAAATTGCTTCTCCAAAAAGTGCCGTTCTCTAAACCGTTTTCCTATTCATAAGACGACGGTACAAAAAACTGTAAGGCGATTTGAGGAATCTGGAGAAGTAAAGGATAGATACCGATCAGGTTGACCGAAACGAGTTATCAATGACAACAAAACTTCAGATATAAGCAAAGTTTTGTTGAAGATCCACATACATCCCCAGGCAGGGTTGCACAAGTACATGATGTAGGTCATTCTTCAGTCTTACGTTTATTACGTAAAAATAAATTTAAATCATACAAACTTAACTTATTGCAAGAATTAAGTGAAGATGACTTTGGTCGTAGATTAGAGTTTACTGAGGTAATGATGGATAAAATTGAAAATTATTAAAATTTTGTTAACAGAATATGTTTTTCCGATGAAGCAACTTTTACAATGTGCGGAAGTGTAAATCGACACAATTTAAGGTACGGGTGTGACGTAAATTCACACTGAAGACTGAATGCGTGAAAACCATACTCAAAGACCACAAAAATTATATATTTTAATTAAATTATATAATATATATATATATATATATATATATATATATATATATATATATATATATATATATGTATTATACAATTAATATAATTATATATATAATGTGTACTCAAAGACCACAAAAATTAAATCAGATATAGTAGTTACTTATTCAATTGGGTCATTTTTTGTCGAAAGAAATTTAACGTCAGATAGTTGGTTTAAATGTGCGGCGATATTTAGATGAGATATTTCCTAGACGATAAATTGGTAGACAAGCTAGAATTGCATGGTATCCACGTTCACCCGATTTCAATCCTAAAGATTATTTTTATTAGGGATACTTAAAAAATTCAGTTTACAAAACTTAACCAGCAAGTCTTGCAGAGCCAAGGCAACGAATTATCAATGCATCTCTAATAATTTCTAGACAATTATGGAGAAATGTGGTAGACGCCTTCTACCATCGAGTAGGGTGCTGTCAACTCACAACTTGAGCACATTTTGAACACTTAATAACGTAACTACTATGTTAAAAAATGTTCTAAACTATCAATTGTTACGTTTTAATGTATTTGAAAATAGTTAGTATTACAAAATTTATTGAAACAATTTAGGCGTTGCCAGACTTCGGTTTTATGTATTTATGACCTTCCAGATTACATAAAATCGTAAGTGTTACATATGGTTAAACTGGAAACTCCTATTGAATAGGAGATTCCAATAATGATTAAATATACAGGGCGATGCATTTGAAAAATCAAAGTTACTAGTAATATAAGAGAAACTGAAAATCTGGCAACATTGCAAATACCAAATATACAATCTCCGTATCCCAAAATAGGCGTATCTTACTAAGAGGTCTCCCAATAAGAATGTCCTGATGTTTTTTTTTTAACGAAAACGGTAAAAGTTGCTGTAAATTAAAAAAAAAATTATTGCAAAATATAATAGATAACAATTATGTTCTGAATAACACATCATTCAAATGTCCACCTCGACTACGTTTGCAGGAGCGAATCCGATGAACCCAATTTTCGGTTACTTTATGCAAAATATCCGCATTAATCTCACGAATGGTCTGTCTGATGTCCGATGATGCCACCATGCCATAAACCACACCAGACAGTGACTTTTTCTAAATGCAAAGGTTTCTCAAGAATCTCATGTGGATTATTTTCACTCCAAAAACGACAATTTTGCTTATTCACAAAGCAGTTTAACCAAAAATGAGCTTCATCGGAAAAGATTGGTTGTTTGACAAAATCGCCATCATTTTCGAGTTTGTCTAGAGCCCAATCAGCGAACAATGATGCGACGCTTATGATGATCAAGTGGCTTCAGTTCTTGAGTCAGAACAATCTTGTAATGGGGTAGGCCTAAATCTTTTCTCAGAATTCGCCAAGTTGTCATTCTAATGAGTCCAAGTTCCTGAGAACGACGATTTGCGGACACATTTGCATTCTTTGCTACACTGGCTCTTACAGCAGCAATATTATCCTGAGTTCTTGCATTTCGGCATCTAGTAGATGATTTCGTATCCTGCAAAGTAAATTCACGTTCAAACTTTTCCACGTTTCGACGAATTACATGCACATCAGGACGATGATTTGATCCATAACTTTCACGTAATGCACGATAGGTATTCACAAAAGAACGATTATTAGCATAAAATTTTAGGATAATTTCCAAACGTTGTTCAAGCGTATATCTTGCCATGGTAATTTGTTAGAATATACTAACTACAAACGTCAACAAGTGACAGTTCTACCATTTTCAAAATGGCCGCTATGACATTTCAAAAACAGGACGTCCCTATTGGGAAACCCTATACGTATCTTATCTACGAGATAATTAGCCGTTTACAATTTTTTCATTTTGATTTTCTAAATTTTTGGCACTTCAGCAATATTGTTTGTACAGGTACAATTAGAAATCACGGTCCGAGTATTTTCAAAATTTTGTAAAATCCTTTGAATTGTTGAGTGATTTGGAATTGATCTATTGGGATATCTTACGCTAAATAAAGAACTACAATTCGCGCACTATTGCCTGAATAAAACATTTTTATTATTGCTACTTTCTCCTCAACTGAACACATTTTTTTATCAACTATGTTGTTTTTTAAACAATAAATCACTAAATTAAAGTTTTGGCAATTCAAATATTGTCAAATTTCAGAAACAAAAATATGACCAAACGCAACATGTCATACACATTCTTGTACCTCGGATGGCCTGAAAAAATGTATTATACTTTTACAAAATTTTGGAATACATTTAATTTGTAGAATAATTTTAACATTTGTTTTTAGTACATATTTCAGTTATTTACAAATAGTTTCTTACAAATTTTGATGTAAAATAATGAGGAAAGCAGGAATTCAACAATTTAAAATTTCCCATTGAATTTACTATGGCCCGTTTGACGATTCACCACCCTGTATATATATATTATATATATATATATATATATACATATATATATATATATATATATATATATATATATATATATAAATATAAGATGCTGGAGTTATTGACTGTTGATTTAAATATAAGTTATGATTTTTGAGGATGCAGTCAGTCTATTTGGCCCACAAGACAAGAAAACTCTTTGACTTACTGTCAAGCTTTCGAATTTTATTTAATTCTTTTTTAAGACATCTATAACAAAGAAATATAAAAATTAACTAGTTAAAATTGTTAATTGTCTTACTTACTAGTCGTGAGATTACAGTTATTATTGTATATATATATATATATATATACATATATATATATATATATACATATATATATATATATATATATATATATTATATATATATACATATAAATATATATATTTATATTTACATTTATATATTTGCATTTCATTTCAATCGGAACTCCACCATTGCCCGACACGTGTTTCGGATTATTCAACCCATCGTCAGGAGCACTTGTAGAAGTTCAACTGAAATAAAATGCAGTCTAGTATTTGGTACTATAACCAAAATAACAGCCAGGGTACGCTAGCAGCGACATCTATACGAAATAACAAGAAGTCGAAAGACCTCTCTGATAGCAAATTAGGTGAACCGCAAATTCAAAGCCTCTTGCTAGAGGCTTTTAACGACGCTAGAAGTATCATTTTACTTTGACATGCATCTACGATTCACCTTTGAAAATTACCATCTTTTTAGCTCTTTACGTAGAGAAAGAGGTTTAAATGAAAGTAAAAGATTGCATTTCATTTCAATCGGAATTCGACCATTGCCCGACACGTGTTTCGGGTTATTATAGCGTCGTTAAAAACCTCTAGCAAGAGGCTTTGAATTTGCGGTTCACCTAAATTGCTATCAGAGAGGTCTCTCGACTTCTTGTTATTTCGTATAGATGTCGCTGCTAGTGTACCCTGGCTGTTATTTTGGTTATACTGATCAAATACTAGACTGCATTTCATTTCAGTTAACTTCTACAAGTGCTCCTTACTAGATGACACAAATACTCGTTTACAGGACAGAATAGAAAAGTCAATTTATTTTTAAATCGAATTAAAAAGAAGGTTGGAATTTAATTATAATAACATCACAAAAATAATAATAAATTAAATTAAAAAAACAATAAACAAAACAAAAACGTTTTAAAATAAAAAGTATTAAAAAGAATATTAAACTTTAATAAAAAAAAACATAAAAATAATTACACACGTATAACTTAAATATTAATCCTACAAAGTGGCTTTTAAAACGACTGGTGGAGTTGTCAATCAGATGTAAATCATAAAGGGAGTTAGCTAGCCTGAAAACTCTATGTATGAATGAAAAAAGTGCGTAATTGAATCTATGAATTATTACATGATATAAGGTACCGTTGATCATTGTTGGGGAACCATGTTGTTCGTTTTGGAAAGGATTTTACATCGAATGTGATGTATGAAAATTCCTGAAGTTCTCGTTGAACTGAATATAGGGATAATCCTTCGGAGTAGTAGGGCCCTATCTGTCAAAAATAGTTGCTTTTTTAATTACTTTGGGTCTCTAACAATAAAGTTAACTTTTTATGTTTTTTTCAATAAAAGTATTTTTTTTCACATTGTTCACTAAGCGCTAATTAAAACAAGTTACTTTTTCTCCTGGCTTGATGTTTCGATATATTGTACATTAGCGATAGAATAGAAGTCTTGTATTGTAATAGTTCTTGTTAACATATTGTGACATTTTTGTGACTTCTTAATGTTTGTATAAATTTAAAAAAAAACTCTGAATGTGTTTTTACGGTAACTTTTATTGTACTTATTAAATGTATTTTGTAACATCTCAACATATGCATTTGACATTGTTTGATATCTACATATGGCTTTACAATCATTAGAACCGAATAAGTGCAGGAATCCTGCTCGAAACGTTTTCTATTAAAAAATTGAAATAGTTTTTTTTATAATATATAGTAAACATTTTTTTTTGTGTGTGTTTTGGCTTGGACAATTGTCATTCAGCCAGTCAAGCTCAATCAAGATAAGTTTATTAATGTAGTGTGTGTGTGTGTGTGTGTGTGTTTGTGTGTGTAGAGTAATTGTCTTGTTACTTAGCAAAGTCGACGTCATTGTCTTTGCTAAGAGACGCTAATTGTATCCGAACGTCTGCGGTCCCTCCGGTGTGTACCGATCACACAAGGATAGAAATTATTTTCATTTATTAATTTTTTTAATAAACGAAAATTTCCACCCAGGTGGGATTCGAACTCACGACCTTTAGGTTTAAAGGCAGGCGCTCTTACCACTGAGCCACAGAGGGGGTTAGATATAGTAAACATGGTAGAAGACTCTAAAGAATCTCCCTGCAAATTTCATGCGTGCCACGTTTTTTGTTTTAAATAGTATAAATTGTATCTATTTTAATTCACTACCACAATTTTATTAGAGTACTGTTCGTGGGACTATAAATGTTTAAGAAAATATTAGGAATTTTATACACTCAAGTGTATTAAAATAGTATTTAAAATAAATTAAATAAGTATTTTTTTAAAGATGCCGAGATGCTCAAATGAGAAAAGTAATTTAAAAACCAAATTTATCTAATTAACCAAATCTATCTAAATCCGCAACTAATAGTAGTCACAAAGTTAATGTTATTTCTGATTTTTAGGAAGTAACATTTATTGCTTGGATAAAAATTTTGGAGGTGTTTTAATAATTTGGGATCGTCTATTTGGAACTTTTGCCAGCGAGAAGAAAGACGAGGAAATTATATATGGTCTTGTTTTTAATCAACCATCATTTAATCCACTTCATCTTCAGGTAAAGTTATTAATAGTTATTAATATTATTATTATTATTATATATATATATATATATATATATATATATATACATATATATATAATATATATATATATATTATATATATATATATATATATATATAATATATATATATAATATATTATATATATATATATATATGTATATATATAATATATATTATATATATATATATATATATATATATATATATATATATATATATATACAGATTGAACCAAATTAAAACGGAACATACAATTTAATACATGTCTGTTTGAACTGCATTTGAAATAGTGGACCAATATAAAACTTGGACAAAAATAAATCCATACCTGGGTATAGACATTGTATAAAATATCGTTCAACTATCTGTCTCGCAACAAAGTTGTTTGCGTAAGACGGGTTTGTCTAAGGAGGCGATAATAGTTCAGGAAATGAAGCTCGAAAAAAGTTAAAACCTCGCAATTTTTTCCTCCTGCATGTATCCAGTTGAAATTTTAGCAGAAGGTAGGTAATAGCCCAAGGATCAAAATGTATATCGAACCGAAGTGCGCTGAAGGGTTTTAGGGGTGAAAACTACCCCTATTGTCAAAAATTATAAAATAACATATTAAACCTGAATATGGGTAAGATTTGGTTTGAATTAGTTAAATAATGATTATTTTATACTTTTGAATAGAGTTTCATCATATTTCAACCCTTAAAAAGCAACCCTTGTTAGAGATTAATGTAAAAAATTACTAATTCTAAAAAAATGATTTCGCCTTGGACCGATTTGGATAAAAATTTGGATTTAAGCTCAATTCACCCGCTGCTTTATAGTTTGTCATGTCGACGAACCCTGATTGTTCTTAGGGGTGAAAAGTACCCCTAATTGTCAAAAATTATAAAATAACATATTAAACCTGAATATGGGTAAAATTTGGCTTGAATTAATTAAATAATGATAGTTTCGTGCTTTTGAATAAAGTTCCATCATATTTCAACCCTTAAAAAGCGACCCTTATTATAGATTAATATAAAAAAAATAGTAATGCGAAGAAAATGATTTCACCTTGGAACGATTTGCATAAAAATTTGGAATTAAGCTCAACTCACCCTCTGCTTTATAGTTTATGTCATGCCGATGAACCCTGATTGTTCTTAGGGGTGAAAACAACCCCTAATTTTCAAAAATTGTAAAATAATATTACAAATCTTAAGATGAGTGAAATTTGGTTAGGATTAGTTAAATAGTGAGTTTTTTATACCTTAAAATACAAATTCATACATTTTCAACCATTAAAAATCAATTGTTATAAGTGCTATAGGTGAAAACAATTTTTTGCCAAAATTTTGCAACTTTTCAACTGTTGAAAATCACCCTTTACAAATTGCAGTTTTTATAAACTAATTTATAAGATATAAATTGAAAAAAGTAGAATTAAATACAAAAAAAATTATCAACATAAAAAGGCACCATATTATTATATTCTTATACATTTACATAAATAATTGAAAATATTTACATTTATAGGTAAAACAATTATAATATTAATTTTATTCGTCATCAGTTACATCTTCATCGTGATCTATGTCATCCTCATCTTCTTCAATTATTGGTGGACTGTTATTGCACCCTTCACCTGAGCACCCAGAACAAGTAGAGTTACAGTATAAACCAACTTTTCTGCACCCATATGAAACGCCGCATCCTTTTTTGCATTGGCAAAAAATAATTTTCAAAAATTTATCGGGTGCAGGTTGTTTGTTCATGCGTACGGGTAATAACAAACCATCTTTGGAATACCATCCCCAATCTGTTGCTCTGATATTTTCATTGCCAAGCCATAGACATATGAGCAGATGTTTTATTCTGTTGTATGGGATTTCAAAATAAGAACGCTTAAAATTTCGAATGTATAACGCCCCACTAGCTGATATACCGGTTTTGTAGATTATTATGCTCCGAAATGTACTGTACTATACTAATGGAATTTTCCGGAAAAAAATTAACTGGTTTTTTTAACGTATTTCCTTTAATTTTTAATGATAGAGTGTTTCTTCAAAAACGATTTGTAGAGGTTTTTAATAGCTACAAGGATCTGTGAATTAAATCTTTTTGGAACCCTTGGTTTTTAAATGGGGTGAGTTTAAAGGGCTCGAAAAAGATGGTGCTTGATCGTAAATCGATGCTTTAAACGGCTATATTTCGCCAAATGTTCATTGTACAACAAATCTGAATAAAGGATAATTTTAGTCATTAAAAAAGCTACAATTTGGTAATTTTTATTTTTTTCATATATTCAGTATTTTCGCTGAAAACCGCTGAACATTGATATTGTATTTGTAGTTGTATTTGTCTTTTTAAAAGCTACAAATTTGTTCTCTACAATTTTTTTGATAAAATGCACCATTTTCGAGTTATTCGCGAAAAATCGATTGAAAACGTGGATTTTTTCGTCTAAAAGTTGTTACTTTCAATCGCGAATAACTTGAAAAATATCATTTTATAAAAAAAATGTATAGCACATTTTTTGTTTAGAATCACTTTTCTAATCGAAACCTGTAGTTAAAACGTAAAAAAAAATTTCACCCCGGAGATGGGGTGGCAACCACCCCCTAGGCTTTGGCGCGCTTTGGTTCGATATAGATTTTGATCCTTAGGCTATTACCTACCTTCTGTTAAATTTCAAGTCAATCCAGGGAGCACGAAAAAATTGCGAGGTCAAATGCTTCATTTCCTGGACTATAACTGGTTTGACAGCATAATAAAATCGTAGATTTATGTGTAGCTTTCAATTTTTATGAGTTCAGAATCCAGCAGCCCGCTGAAGTATGGGATTTTTTATAATACAATTATTTGACAATCTTTTGTTGGCCAACCTCCTACAGCAGAATTGAGCCGAAATACATTATATTCCTATGTTCCGAATTTATTTCGTTCAATCTGTATATATATATATATATATATATATATAATATATATATATATATATATATATTATTCGTTGGAAAATTTATAGGAACAAGAGCGAGTCAGATACTGGCAAATTGGCAACAAAGTTAGAGTGACCAGTATATATAATTTTAAATTAAATTAAAAGTTTTAATTTTTATTTATTTTATTTATCATAATTTTCATTTTCCATAAAGTTTAAATAAAAAATATCGGTGTTGTTAACTTGTGATATATCTTGGAAGTGATAACACTAATCGAGTCGACTGAACAGAACTTATTGTAAAATAATAATACCTATAAAAAATTGTGAATAAAAGTAATTATCACATACAATTAAACAAATTTTTTATGTAAAAGTTTTATAACTTACGAGCAGATTTTATCCCTGATAACTTAGTTATTTTCATCATCATCGCTGGCTCGACAACCCTTTTTGGGTCTTGGCCTGTTCAAGTATTCTTCTTCTTCATTCTGACCTGTTTCGAGCTTTTTTTTTCCAGTTTTTAATTTTTAATGTTGTTATATTCATTTTCTATTTGTTCTACGTATCTCAGCTTCGGTCTTCCTCTTGTTCTTTTTCCTACTGGCACTTGTTTGAATATTTTGTTTGGTGTAACTTAGTTATTTTAATAAGGAAAAAATAGAGAATTCATTTTTTAAATTATATACAGGGTATTCTATTAAAGAACCACAACTTTGGTTTGACACCATGTGAGAGAAGTACCTCAATAATTTAAAATGGGCTAAGAGGTCTAAAATTTTTATGAACGTCTTTTTTTATATCTAGCAGGTATTTTATAATAACCTAACCTGTAATTTGACTGTTTTAAATTAAATACTTTGTTCGTTTTTGTTCGATCATGAAGTGTGTCTGTACCCTATTTTCAAAGATATATTTTCAAAGATATATATTTTCAAAGATATATAAGCAAAACGAGAATATCTACAATTACAATAAAAATAAAGATTTCAACTGACACCTAGTTCAAAGTAAGTACTTACTAATCTACTCAGAATCATTGTTATCACTAGTATCACTCGTATCTTCTAAATTTATAGTTCATTTGGTTAATGGTGGTAAATATTGAACAATCACTTTCCACTGCGATTACATGTTTGATTACAGTTTTCCAGTTGGTTGCTGTGATCTTTGTGACTTCTTTTTTAATTAACTATTAATTGAAATGAATAGTTATTAATTATTATAGAGTATTAATTAAGTAGTAATTATTATAGAAATTAATAAATTAATTCAAGTTGAGTCCATATTAACTCTATTGGGTTCAATGTACAATCTACACAATGTAGAATTGGGAGGACAGTTATCAACAACATATTCCTTTTGGTACTGTCTACTTTAAACAACCTCCAACAATTGCTTTTTACTATATTATACCTCAACGTACAAATCTTTCTCTAATAAAGATTCTTGAATTTGTAATTTGTTTAAAGTAATATTTGGAATTTTCTCATTAATCTTAAATAATATGATGCGTTGTCCATGACACATCAAACTATGATTCAAAAATTAAACTTTCCATATCCTTATGATAATCTAGAGATGAGTTTTTAATTTTTTTTGCAGATATTAATAATACATCGTCGATCCATCTATTTTCTAAAATAAATCTTCTAGTTTTTTTCCATTAGTGTTTATTGCTTTTCTATAGTTTTTTACTTAAAATTATGGGTTTTAAGAAATCATCAAAGTGTTGTTGCTGAATATGAAAGAATGTCCTTTTGAACCAGTTCACTTCGACGGCTTTCAGTAGTTGGAAAAATATTAGCCGCATCCATTTTGTATATTGTTCTGATTATAGGTACTTTTAATGCGGTTTTTACTTAAAAAACTAAGTTAGTTAAACTAAGTTAGCTTTTTACTTAAAATTATGGGTTTTCAGAAATCATCAAAGTGTTTCTGAATATGATAGAATGTCCTTTCGAACCAGTTCACTTTCAAAGACTTTCAACAGTTGGAAAAATATTAGCCGTATCCATTTTGTATATTGTTCTGATTATTATTTTGATGATTATTATTCTGATTATAGGTTCCT